GTCGGATAATCTCAAATGTCAGATTAATAAGGGAATGAAAGGTTGCTAAAATCATCATTGCCTCTTTCAAGCCATTAATCATACTGCCATAACTACTTGCTAAACCAAATGAATCAATAACAGCTTGTTTAGATTGTTGTTACCCATTGTATTATATTGTTACTTTAGACAGACCAAATAGATAGATAACCCTTCAAACTTGCCATGAATTGTCAGTTAGGCAGTAATCACTTGGGCATTTCAACTTGACAGATGCAAAATGAGATCCAACATCGCCATGGCTGCAAAAACCACCAGAAAATCTAGGGCATGCCCTGCCAAGATACGGGTCGGATAGTATCAAATGCCCGATTAAGCTCAGAAGGAATGAAAAATTGATAAAATTATATTCCCTCTTTCAAGCCATCAATCATATCACCATTGACAATTTTAACAGCAGCCTTGAAGTATCCCATTTGTGCAATTTTTTCTAATTTCCCAGAAACTGAGGCTTAGGTCTGTGTTATAGACCATGTTGCTCAGACTCTTCAAAAATATTATCAGATGTGTTGGATCCATCAAAAGTAGTGCATTTTTTGGAGGATTCGACACTGGTGCGACACCATTTTTGGAGAGTTCGAGCAACTTTGGTTATAGCTCAACAAACAGAGATCCGATGATAAAATGACTGAACAACCACCAGAAAATTTGTGGACATACCCGCCAAGATACGGGGCACCACCACCTCCTTTTGGAAGTCGAGTATACTCACCACCACCACCGGCAGCATTAAATGCTCCGGTAAAGGCACAAAGAAAAAAAGAAAGAAAGAGACTGAAAGATGCATGGTTTTAGCATACATCATGGAGGAAACACTTCAAGCTTCCTCCTTTTTGAGACTGCTCTTTAATCCAAAAGAGCAAAGTCCTGAAGAGCGAAGAAAGGGCTGTTGAGATGTTTACAGTAATGGAGAAATCATTGGCTAATGCAAAGAGAGGCAACTTCCCTTTCAACAAAAATCCTCTTAACTCTCCGGGGACTCATTTTATCCCTTCTGAGCTTTCTTGTTGAGAGGAGAGGCAAATAAGACTCTCAAGTTCAGAATGCAGGAAATGACAAAAATAGTCAGTAGGTTCAACGTAGCCTCTTCAGTATGCACTGACCTGTTTTGGTCTTCTATATTTGTCAAGAGATCAGTACCTACATTTTCAGATCAATTCAAGAAAACTTCTAAAAGATACTGTTTCAGTGATCAAACGTAAGTTAAATTGAGGTAAGGAGGCTCAGACTTTCGCCTATTTAATCAAAGAGCAGAGCTAAACCAGCCATGGCTGCAAATATTGGTTGCCTCGTGAGAAAGGACTACAAAACACCTACTATTTCTCATCCTTCTTCACAGACCTTCCAAGTTGTCTTTGCCAAGCCAGGCCTTGGACTTGACTCCAACATTTTCAGTCTTGTAAAGATAATCTTCATAGCCTCAGTATTTTAGGATTCTCAAGATACAAAAAGGGCATCAAATTTGAGGATGAACACGTGACACTTCAATTGAAAGACAGATAAAAGCTTGTCATGTTAGTACCCTTACACAGCCAAAGCAACTGCTCAAAGGCCATTTTTCTGACAAATAATTAAATAGTACAAAGAGCACAAAACCTTCTGAGTTAAATCTTGCCTTAATTGGCAAAGATAATCTCTTCTCCAGTCAACACTCTACTGCTTTGACTCATTCCTGCAGAGTTCAAAGACTTATTTTTCAAGATAATATAGATAAATGTTGCAGGTTTAATCAAGGTACACATGAATATACTTTTCTAGCAATAGCATGAGCTTGCCACTTTTGCCCTTTTTTTTTTTTTTTGATAAAGATAATGTTGTATTCATCAGCATTAAGGATATGCTGGAGACCTCCAAAAATTGGTTTCCAACAAGAGAAAAAACAAAAAGGCTAATAGATTACAAAGTGCCTATAAAATCCATTCCATTATCAAAAACAACCTAAGCAACTAGTCTTACGACAGAATTTTCTAAAATCAATAAATTGAGGTTCAGATCTGTGTTTACCTCTGGCAGAAAGAGAGGTCAACGACGCCATTGCTGCAAAAATCAACAGAAAATGTGGTGCATGCACCGCCAAGATATGGGTCAAATAATCTCAAATGCCCGATTAGTATTAGCTTAGGAGGGATGAAAGATTTACAAAATCATCATTGCCTCTTTCAAGCCATCAATTATACTCATCACCACCTGCATAACTTTTCTCCAGAGGTGAATCCAGGACTTTGTTTATTGGGCTATTGATAGATTATTACACATATTAGCTGAAGTTCTTAAAACAAATACAGGGTTTTGGCCTAGGTTTTACTGAATTGATAGCTTCCAAAACGACAGAGAAAGTACAACAACATACCCAGGGTAATACCACAAGTGGGTTGGGGGAGGGTAGAGTGTACACAGACCTTACCCCTACTTTGTAGAGATAGAGAGGTTGTTTCCAATAGACTCTTGGCTAAGTAACGCATCTCAAAGCAGCCTGGCAACACCATGGCAGAGAGAAAATGAGGCTCAGATATGTGTTAAGCTCGAGCAAAAAGAGAGTTCGGCGATGCCATGGCTGCAATAACCACCAGAAACTCTAGGAGCATGCCCTGCCAAGATACGGGTTGGATAATCTCAAAGTCTGATTGATAAGCTCATAAAGGTATAAAAGATTGACAAAATCCTCATCGCCTCTTTCAAGCCGTCAATTTTGCTCACCACCACCTGTATAACTCTAACCAGTCTCCAAGCAAGCAAACCCTAAATACAAAATATTTTTCAAACTGACATAAAGGCTCAGATCTGTGTTTAAGATCGGGCAAAAGGAGAGTCCGGCAACGCCATGGCAGCAAAACAACCTGAAAATGGGAACATGCCCTGTCAAGATACGGGTCAGATAATCTCAAATGCCCGATTAATCAGTTCAAAGGGGGATGACAATTCGACATAATCATCATTGCCTTCATCAAACCATTGATGATACTCGCCACGTACACCGCCAAAATTCAATGGTCCGGCAGAAGCATTTAAAAAAGAGAATAGATGGTATTAGCATGCATAGCATGAAAGGGTATGAAACCCTTAATAATACTCCATCAGTAAGATTGATAAAAGGGCTGTTGGGATCCGGCAGAAGCATTGAAAAAGTAAAAAAAAGTTGAAGGGCACAGAAATCATCTGCAACAATATGTAACAACCATCCAAGCGAGCTGCTAATAACACACTCAAACAACAACAAATAACAACATTCCCAGTGTATCCCACATGTGGGATTTGAGAGGGTAATGTGTATGCAGCCTTACCCTGTTGAAGTTCTGTTAATAATATACTCCCTCTGTTAAAATTGATAAAAGGATTGTTGGGTTTTTTATAGTAATGGAGAAATCATTGGCTGATGCAGAGAGCGGCAACCACCCTTTCAATGAAAAATCCCGTAAGCACACTGTAGCCTCATTCTTTCCCTTTTGAGCTTTTGCTTTGTACATTTCCCTAACCTTTTGTTTCCCGAAACTGATAGAGAAAGTGAGGCTCAGATCTGTGTTAAGCTCAGGTAAAAATAGAGTCCAACCACGCCATGGCTGCAAAAACTACCAGAAAAGCTGGTGGCATGCCCCGCCAAGATACGGGTCGGATAACCTCAAATGCCTGATTAATCAGCTCATAAGTGAATAAAATTTGGCAAAAGTCATCATCGCCTCTTTCAAGCCGTCGAATTATACTCACCACCATCGCTTCCACCAGCAACATTCAATGCTCCGGTGAAAGCACCAAAAAAAAGAAGAAAAAAAAGAGTTGAAGGGCGTCGAAACCCTTTGAAACGTTATGTAACAACCATCCAAACAAGCTGTAAGTTATATACTCCCTCCATTTAAAATTGATAAAAGAGTGGTTGGGATTCCTACAGTAATGGAGAAATCATTGGCTAATTCAGTGAGAGGCAATCACACTTGGAACAAAAACCCTCAAATCCCTGTAGCCTCATTCTTTCCCTTCTGAGCTTTTGCTTTATTCATTTCCCAGAACTTTTGTTTATATAGTACACTGAAGATGTTAGAATACTCCGTCTGTTAAAACTTAAAATTGACAAAAGGGTTATTGGGTTTCATACAGTAATGGAGTTCAGTAAATTGAGGCTCAGACCTGTGCAAGCAAAGAGAGTCCAACCACGCCATGGCTGCAAAAATCACCAGAAAATCTGGGAGCATGCCCCGCCAAGATACGGGTTGGATAACCTCAAATGCCCGATTAATCAGCTCAGAAGGGAACAAAAATTGACATAAATCATCATCACCTCTTTCAAACCAGCCGATTATACTCACCACCATTGCTTCCACCAGCAACATTCAATGCTCCGGCGGAAGCATTAAAAAAAGAAAAGAAAAAAAAAGAGTTGCAAGGGCATAGAAACCCTTTGACAATATAACAACAATCCAAGCAAGCTGTTAATAATACACTCCACTCCCTCCATTAAAATTGATAGAAGGATAGTTGGGTTTCTTACCGTAATGGAGAAATCATTGGCTGAATATAGAGAGAGGCAATCACCCATTCAATGAGAAGTCCTCAACTCTCTGTAGCCTCATTCTATCCCTTTAAAGCTTTTGCTTTGCCCATTTTCCTAACCTTTTGTTTCCCTAAACTGACAGAGAAAGTGAGGCTCAGATCTGTGTTGAGCTCAGGCAAAAAGAGAGTCCAATAACGCCATGGCTGCAAAAACCACCAGAAAATCTGGTGGCATGCCCTGCCAAGGTACGGGTCGGTTAACCTCAAATGCCCGAATAATCAGCTCAGAAGGGAATAAAATTGGTAAAAATCATCATCGCCTCTATAAAGCCACCAATTATACTCACCAGCGCCGCTTTCAGCTCCACCAGCAACATTCAATGCTCCGGCAGAAGCCTCAAAAAAAGAAAAGAAAAAAAAAAGAGTTGAAGGGAATAGAAGCCCTTTGAAACGATATATAACAACAATCCAAGCAAGCTGTTAATAATACATTCCCTCCGTTAAAATTGATAAAAGGGTTGTTGGGATTCTTACAATGATAGAGAAATCATTGGATGAATGCAGAGAGAGGCAACCACCCTTTCAATGAAAAATCCTCAACTCTATGTACACCCACTTACATCAAATACAATTACCAGGATGGCTTTCCAAACAGGCCCCAAGGGTCTTCATGCTTTTAATATAGTATAGATAAAAGGGTTGTTAGGATTCTTACAGTAGAGAAATTATTGGCTGAATGCTAAGAGAGGCAACCACCCTTTTAATAAAAAGTCCTCCACTCTCTGTAGCCTCATTCTTTCCCTTCAGTTTTTGCTTTTTGTTTCTCAACTCTCAAAAACATTTTCCTTCATACCGAACACACCCTAAATACAACCAAAAAAATCCAAACTGAATAGAGAAAAATTGAGGCTCAGATCTGGTTAAGATCGGGCAACAAGAGAGTCCAACAAACGCCATAGCTGCAAAAACCACCACCACTGCAAAAGCTGGCATGCCCCGCCAAGATACGGGTTGGATAATCTCAAATGCCCAATTAATCAGCTCAGAAAGAAATCAAAAGTTGACAAAAATCATCATTGCCTCTTTAAAGTCACCGATTATACTCAACCCCACAGCTTCCACTACCCCCACCAGCAGCACTCAATGCTCTGGCAGAAGCATTTGAGAAAAGAGAATGCACTGTATGAGCGCAGCATGGAAGTATAGGTTAGATTGATATGGTATGTATGTATGTCTAATTAGGTCGTTTTTAAATTTTATAAAAGGGTTGTTGGGGATCTTACAGTAAGGGAGGAATCATTGGCTTATGCAGAGAGCGGCAACCACCCTTTCAATGAAAAATCCTCAACTCTCTGTAGCTTCATTCTTTTCCTTCTGAGCTTTTTGACTTTTGTTTCTCAACTCGCGAAAACATTTTCTTTCATACCAAACACACACCTTAATATCAAACAAAAAAGAGCCCAAGCTGAATAGAGAAAAATTGAGACTCAGATCTGTGTTAAGCTTGGGCAACAAGAGAGTTCAACCACGCCATGGCAGCAAAAACCACCAGAAAATCTGGGAGCATGCCCCGCCAAGATATGGATCAGATAACCTCAAATGTCCAATTAATCAGCACAGAAGGGAATAAAAATTGGCAAAAATCATCATCGCCTCTTTCAAGTGATCCGATGATACTCAGCACCATTGCTTCCACCAGCTCCACCGACAAAAAATCAATGCTCCGGCAGAAGCATTAGAAAAAAGAAAAAAAAAGTTGAAAGGCATAGAAACCCATTTCAAACAAAAGCTGTTAATTATACACTTCCTCTGTTTAAAATCAATAAGAAGGTTGTTGGGATTCTTACAGTAATGGGGAAATCACTGGCTGAAAGCAGAGAGAGGCAACCACCCTTCAAATGAAAATTCCTCAAACTCACTGTTAGCCTCATTCTTTTCCTTCTAAGCTTTTGCATATAGTACCCTGAAGCTGTTAATAATACTCCCTAAGTTAAACTTAACGAAGAGACCGGTAAATTGAGGCTCAGATCTGTGTTAAGCTCGAGCAAAACGAGAGTTTAACCACGCCATGGCTGCAAAAACCAGCATGCCCCGCCAAGATACAGGTCGGATAATCTCAAATGCTCGATTAATCAGCTCAGAAGGGAATAAAAATTGACAAAAATCATCATTGTCTCTTTCAAACCGTCCAATTATACTCACCACCATAGCTTCCACCAGCTCCACCGGCAACATTCTGTGCTCCAGCAGAAGCATTAAAAAAAGAGTTGAAGGGAATAGAAACCCTTTTAAACAATATGTAAGAACAATCCAAATGAGTTGTTAATTATATACGTCAATCAACATTTCTAAGGGTTTTCATGCTTTTAATATAGAGAGAAGTACTGAAAACACCCCTAAACTCTGTGCGAAATATTAGTTTCATCCCCAAACAATTGAGACCCTTAAAAACACCCCTTTACATGACTAATTGAACTAAAATACACCCCCGATCTTGCAACATGAGTGAAATACGCCCCTAAATTCTCGTCAAGTTTAGGGGTGTTTTTAACACTAATTTCGATTTTTTATTAAGAGTCTCATGCTCCTACAAGAGTTTGAGACCGCTTGCTATGTCATTGATATGACAGATCGAGGATGTATCTAAGTTTAGTTAGTCAAATAGAGGGGTGTTTTTTAAGGCTGTCAATAGATCGGAGACGAAATTGATAATTTGCGCCAAGTTCAGGGGTGTTCTTACTTTTCTCTTTGATATTGTACAGATAAAAGGGTTGTTGGGATTCTTACAGTTAACGGAAATCATTGGCTGAATGTTGAGAGAGGCAACCACCCTATCAATGAAAAATCCTCAAGTCTTTGTAGCCTCATTCATTCCCTTCTGAACTTTTTGCTTTGTTTCTCAACTCAAACATTTTCCTTCATATGGAACACACCCTAAATATAACAAAAAAAGGCCAAGCTGAATAGAGAAAAATCGAGGCTCAGATTTGTGTTAAGCTCGGGAAACAAGAGAGTCCAACAACTCCATGGCTGCAAAAACCACCAGAAAATCTGGGAGCATGCCCCGCCAAGATACAGTTTGGATAACCTCAAATGCCCAATTAATCAGAGCTCAGAAAGGAATAAACATTGGCAAAAATCATCATTGCCTCTTTTAAGCCATCCGATTATACTCGGCACCATCACTTCCACCAGCAACAATCAATGCTCCGGCAGAAGCATTAGAGAAAAGAGAATGCACTGTATGGTCACAGCATGGAAGTATAGGTTAGATTGATATGGTATATATATATATGTGTGTGTGTGTTTGTCTAATTAGGTAGTTTTTCCTAATATTTATAAAAGGGTTGTTGGGGTTCTTACATCAAGGGAGAAATAATTGGCTGATGCAGAGAGTGGCAACCACCCTTACAATGAAAAATCCTCAACTCTCTGTAGCCTCATTCTTTCCCTACTGAGATTTTTGACATTTGTTTCTCAACTCTTGAAAACATTTTCTTTCATATCAAACACACCCTTGATATTAAACAAAAAAAATTGAGACTCAGATCTGTGTTAAGCTTGGGCAAAAGGAGAGTCCAACCACGCCATGGCTGCAAAAACCACAACAAAAACTGGTGGCCCACCAAGATACGGGTCTGATAACCTCAAATGCCCGATTAATCAGCTCAGCTTGGGCAAAAGGAGAGTCCAACCATGCCATGGCTGCAAAAACCACCAGAAAAGCTGGTGGCATGCCCCGCCAAGATACGGGTCTGATAATCTCAAAATGCTCGATTAATCAGCTCATAAGGGAACAAAAATTGGCAAAAATCATCATCACCTCTTTCAAGCCGTCCGATTATACTCACCAACATCGCTTCCACCGGCAACATTCAATGCTCCGGCGGAAGCATTAAAAAGGAGTTGAAAAAAGAGTTGAAGGGCATAGAAACCCTTAAAACAATATGTAACAACAATCCAAACAAGCTGTTATTTATGTACTCCCTCCGTTTAAAACTGATAAAAGGGTTGTTGGGATCCTTACAGTAATGGAGAAATCATTGGCTGAATGTTGAGAGAGGCAACCACCCTTTCAATGAAAAATCTTCAACTCTCTGTAGCCTCACTCCCCCTTCTGAGTTTTTTGCTTTTTGTTTCTCAACTCTCGAAAACATTTTCCTTCATACCAAACACACCCTTAACATTAAGCAAAAAAGAGCCCAAGCAGAATAGAGAAAAATTGAGACTCAGATCTGCATTAAGCTTGGGCAACAAGAGAGTCCAACCACGCCATGGCTGCAAAAACCACCAGAAAATCTGGGAGCATGCCCCGCCAAGATACGGGTCAGATAACATCAAAATGCCCAATTAATCAGCACAGAAGGGAATAAAAATTAGCAAAAATCATCATCGCCTCTTTCAAGCCATCCGATTATACTCAGCACCATTGCTTCCACCAGCTCCACTGGCAACAATCAATGCTCCAGCAGAAGCATTAGAAAAAAGAAAAAAAAAGAGTTGAAAGGCATAGAAACCCATTTCAAACAAAAGTTGTTAATTATATACTTCCTCTGTTTAAAATCGATAAAAAGGCGGTTAGGATTGTTACAGTAATGGGGAAATCACTGGCTGAAAGCAGAGAGAGGCAACCACCCTTCCAATGAAAAATCCTCAAACTCACTGTTAGCCTCATTCTTTTCCTTCTAAGCTTTTGTTTATAGTATCCTGAAGCTGTTATCAATACTCCCTCAGTTAAAATTAACAAAGAGACCGCTAAATTGAGGCTCAGATCTGTGTTAAGATCGAGCAAAAAGAGAGTCAACCACGCCATGGCTGCATAAACCAGCATGCCCCACCAAGATACGGGTCGGATAACCTTAAATGCTCAATTAATCAGCTTACAAGGGAATAAAATTGACAAAGATCATCATCGCCTCTTTCAAACTGTCCAATTATACTCACCACCATAGCTTCCACCAGCTCCACCGGCAACATTCAATGCTCCGGCAGAAGCATTAAAAAGGAGTTGAAAAGAAGAGATGAAGGGCATAAAAACCTCTGAAACAATATGTAACAACAATCCAAACAAGTTGTTATTTATATACTCCCTCCGTTTAAAATTGATAAAAGGGTTGTTGGGATCCTTACAGTAATGGAGAAATCATTGGCTGAATGTTGAGAGAGGCAACCACCCTTTCAATGAAAATCCTCAACTCTTTGTAGCCTCATTCCTTCCCTTCTGAGCTTTTCGTTTTTTGTATCTCAACTCTCGATAACATTTTCCTTCATACCAAACATACCCTAAATATAACAAAAAAAGCCAAGCTGAACAGAGAAAAATTTGAGGCTCAGATTTGTGTTAAGCTCAGGCAACAAGAGATTCCAACCACGCCATGGCTGCAAAAGCCACCAGAAAATCTGGGAGCATGCCCCGCCAATATACGGGTTGGATAACCTCAAATGCCCGATTAATCAGCTCAGAAGGGAATAAACATTGGCAAAAATCATCATTGCCTCTTTCAAGCTGTCCAATTATTCTCAGCACCATTGCTTCCACCAGCTCCAGTGGCAACAATCAATGATCCGGCGGAAGCATTAAAAAGGAGTTGAAAAAAAGAGTTGGAAGGGCATATAGAAACCCATTTCAAACAAAAGTTGATAATCATATACTTCCTCTGTTTAAAATTGATAAGAGGGTTGTTGGGATTCTTATAATAATGGAGAAATCATTGACTGACTGCAGAGAGAGGCAACCACCCTTTCAACGAAAATCCTCAAACTCCCTGTTAGCCTCATTCTTATAGTACCCTGAAGCTGGTAATACTACTCCCTCAGTTTAAATTGACGAAGAGATCAGTGCATTGAGGCTCAGATCTGTGTTAAACTAGAGTATAAAGAGAGTCCAACCACGCCATGGCTGCAAAAACCAGCATGCCCCGCCAAGATACGGGTCGGATAACCTCCAATGCTCAATTAATCAGCTCAGAAGGGAATAAAGTTACAAGAATCATCATCGCCTCTTCCAAGCCATCCGAAGCAATAAAAGCAACTGTTAGAAAAATTATAGGAAATATAATTGAAGAAGAAGATGGCTTTAAGGCATGAAGAATCGCTTTCCTTAAAGAGATATTTCCCGTATACATATTAGGAAAAATACAAGAAATTGCCTTCAAGATACAACAAAGTCCTTGTATATGCATGTATATTTTTCTTTTTGGGTTACTTCTAGAGAGTCCTTATATTTATAAAACTTAAGAGATCGACTTTTCATAATAGTCATGTTCTTTCATGTGTTCAATTTAAGACCTCAATATATTACAAAATATCCAACAACAACATACCCAGTATAGTCCCACATGGTGGGGTTTGAGAGAGTAGAGTATATGCATTATCTTATCCCTCCTTTAGAGGTAGAGAGGTGGTTTCCACTAGACTCTCGGCTTAAGAAAAACAGTCCAAAGCAGTCCAGAAAGAGCAACAAAACATATTGAACAGTAACTACAAAAATATATGATAGTCGAAGTACAAGAAACTTCCAATAGTAACAAAATGAAAAGACAAGAAACTATATGAGTAATATTATGACCACTAGTATGGGAAGATCGCAAGACAATGCACTACTAGTCTACAACCTACGAACCTCCTTCCCTAATCTATGTCCTCCACAATATGTAACAACATTCCAAACGAGATGTTACGTTTGTCCATGAACTTTTTTCAATTTTTTCTGGAGTTGAACTCAGAAAAACAAGTTTGGCCATAAAATTTGGAATTCAACCATAGGATTTGAAAAACAAAAAAAGATACTTTTACTTTTTTCACTCCAAATTACTCACAAAAAGTCAAAAACGACTCCAATTTGTATTCATAGCAAAATACAACTCTAATTTTCAAATATAATTTTTCATTTTGAAAACAAACACTACATTATTTTCAAATTTCAGAATGAAACATGACCAAACACAAACTAATATACTTCCTCCATTTTAAATTGATAAAAGGGTTGCTAGGTTTCTTACAGTATGGAGAATGCATTGGCTGAATGCAGAGAGAGTCAACCACCCTTTCAACAAAAAAAAATTCAAAAGCCCTGTTAGCCTCATTTTTTATTTATGAACTTTTGCTTATAGTACCCTGAAGCTGTTAATAATACTCCCTCAATTGAAATGGACGAAGAGACCAGTAAATTGAGGCTCAGATCTGTGTTAAGCTCGAGCAAAAAGAGGGTCCAACCACGCCATGGCTGCATAAAACAGTATGCCCCGCCAAGATACAGATCAGATAACCTCAAATGCTCAATTAATCAGCTCAAAAGGGAATAAAAAGTGACAAAAATCATCATCGCCTCTATAAAGACACCAATTATACTCACCCCCACCAGCAACACTGAATGCTCAGGCAGAAGTATAAAGAAAAAATAAAGAGAAAAAAGAGTTGAAAGGTCATAGAAACCCATTTCAAACAAAGCTGATAATTATATATTCCCTCTGTTCAAAATTGATAAAAGGGTTGTTGGAATTCTTACATTAATGGAGAAATCATCGGCTGATATAGAGAGTGGCAACCACCCTTCCAATGAGAAATCCTTAAACTCTCTTTAAGCCTCATTCTTTCCCTTTTGAGCTTTTTGCTTTGTCCATTTCCCTTAGGTTTTGCTTATATAGTCCCCTCAACACTTGAACTATAATACTCCCATCTTTTTACCAGTTCATTAATTTTTCTTGTTGAAAGTATAAAAAAACAATTTCTTTAGGACAAAGATTTACATTTACAATTTTTAGTTTTTTTTTTAATATAGTTTCCAAATTTTCTTGGTCGATATAGTTTGAATATGTGAAAATGAGATGTACAAGTGGTCCAATGCAAAGGTACAAGGAAATTGTGGATAGGTGATAAGACATGATGCACTAACTTCACAAAGATATGATCTTCGATATAGTAGTTAAGAACTGTATCACTTTGTTCTTTCATATAAGGTGGATATCGAAATTACACCAAAAAGATAAAAGATAATCCATCAATTGAGCTACCAAAATTTTCCATCAAGTTTCTTGTTGTTCCATCCCTTTTAGTATTATTTAATATTTCCTGCACATCAATCATTGTATAATTTTGATAGTGATTGCTCCTTTTTTAGTTTGTCATATTATCTTTCACATTTTACCTTAATTTCTTCACTTTCATTCTCTTTTTTCGAATTATATCAAGAACAACTTCTCTAACTCCAGGTATTACCCTTGTATACACAATTACTTTTCTACCAATTTTTGCAACTGAACATATGGTCTCACTTGGCTCTAGAAGTAGTGAACATTATCAGCAATATTCAGAAAAACAGTTGACAAATTTCACTTTTGTTTTTTAATTAACCATAAAATCCCCAATAATGGATCACGACTTGAAACTCTATGTTGCACCAGTCATCTCTGTCTTTCTCTGCTTAAATACCAAACTTAACAATTCAAATCTGTGGCATGCATTCTAACACACCAACTGTTGCACTCTTATCCCTAAACCAAAGGGATAATTCAAACGCACGACATGCACCTCTATAACACAGCAATTGTTGCACTCTCACCGCTGGACCAAAGCCCCTAAGCCATGGGATGTATGCATAAATATAGTAGAGGTTTTTGATTGAACACATTTGAAACAACGAGGAACTTTTGAAATATATCCAATCAAGAGTGATAGACAATGTAGCCAAGCAAGAATCAGCTGGTTAGAACCACATATTAGCTCATCAACTAGAATCGTTCCAATCTTGTCCAAGTATGATATCGGCAACAGGGAAAAAGAGGGGATCAACAAATACAGAGCCCCTCGGCAAAGTTGCCTTGTTTTGCAATTCTTTTTTGTATATAACAAACAATTATCTATTTTCATACTTAAATAATGTTAGACCCTTTCAATTAGAATACATAGCGGCAGCAAGAAGCTGATTAAATACATAAAATACACCTAGTATAACAATATTTTTAGACTAGTAGTGATAACATAGAGCTAAATAGAGGCCTCATCTATCAGAGTAACTATGCCAAAAAGCATCATTTGGATGTTGATCCATGGCTTACTTGAATTACTCATCATTTAGGATGAATTGCTTCATGCACCGAGTAAACAAATTGATTGAAGGAGATCAGTGTGAATTATCAAGACTCTTAAGAAGTATGGCTTCTTGTAAAGATCATTATCAATGAAAGAGAACCCCTAAAAGATAATACATAGCAAAAACAAGAAACTGACTAAATGAAGCATAAAAATCACCTAGTGAAACTTCTTTAGATAAGTAATTGTGACAACATAGTGCTAATAGAGGCCTCATCCATCAGAGTAACTATGACAAAAAAGCGTCATTTGGATGGTAATCCATGGCTTACTTGAATTTCATTTAGGATGAGATATTTCATGCATATAGTAAACAAATTGAATAGAAGGAGAGCAGTAAGAAGTATAAACACTCCTAAGATAATACATAACATAAAACAAGAAGTATGACATCTTGTACCGATAATACTTAGCAGGAACAGGAACCTGACAAAATGAAGCATAAAATCAACTAGTGAAACTTCTTCTCAAGTAGTCTTGACAATTGAGGTCATCTATCAGAGTAACTATGACAAAAAGCTTCATTTGGATGTTAATCCATGGCTTACTTAAATTACTCATCATTTAGGATTGAATTCCTTCATGCACAGAATAAAGACTAGAAGTATTGATTTATTGTTTAGGTAATGAGGTCAATCACTAGTGTGCCCAAAAAAACCTAGGTAGGACGGAAAAAACCTCAAAAATTAGTGGTATCCACAAAACAAGTAATAACCGCAAAATTTGCATAAACTATAAAATGATCTTACTCCCAATATGATTTATAAATACACTGTTTTGCTCACAAAAGATTTATGATTTGGCTTGTATTCTAACACAAACTGTGGTGCTCCTGCATAAATTGATGCAGTTGTATTACATCATGTTAAAAAATGAACAATCAAATTACAGTTTAAACTACAACAGGTCAGGTTGAAGAAATTATGAACTTTCACCTATAAGAAAACTAAGCATATCAGCAACACCATAACTCAAAAATATATGTTAGTACTCAAATGCCTAGATTTCTAGACAAAGGAATACATATCTGGGCACAGGTTTTGTAATTACTATACAGAGTTCAAAAACAGAGAAAACAAGGGATGACATTAAGGCACACTTATCTCAGAGAAAGAGCTTCCCTATTCATTATAATTGAAAAATAGGGTAGTTTTAAATATAAAAAAGGAACATATTTATCAAAACAAAGAAACTCAAAAATAGACGTTGACATTCATAGAGTTCCTAGTCAAAAGAAAACATTTTTAGGCACACTCGTATGGAAAAAGCACCTCTAGGAACTCGGTAAGCTTATACTGGGCATGCTGTTTTTGTTGTTGGAATAGGCTCAGATTCGCCTTCTCTCAGGAAAAAACCAAACTAAAAAAAAAAACAATATGGCAACAAGCATCAGTTAGCTAACTTATGAGACAGAAAAGGAAGACCAAAAATGGAGCTTTCTCCTCCACTTCTCACAGACCCATCTGCACACCAAGATAGAGTCTTTTCTAGCTCAATGAGAAGATATGTCTGTTTCATCTTCCAAAGAAGACAAAAAACTTCAATTCTTCATTGAAGATTATTTGAAACGTAGGAAGTAGCAAACAAAAGAAACAGAGGGAGTAACAAACATAAGGGTGTTTTTTGTAATCATTTGAGTGATAATCGGCAGCGGAGAATGACAGAGAGCAGCAAAACCACCCATTGGAACTCCCTAAAGCTCTCTGCTTTCACACAGCCTCAGACTTAAACTAATAAGATTAGGCTCAGATTCGCCTTTTCTCAGACAAAACCAAAAAGCTTTTAAAAAAACCGTCATTGCTACAATCATCAGCTAGCCTTATGAGACAGAAAAGAATACTTTCTCCTCCAATTCTCACAGACCCATCTGAGCTGCCACGCCAAGATACAGTTTTTTTTCCAGCTCAATGGAAAATGTGTCTGATTCATCTTCCGAAGAAGACAAATTCTTTCAAATCTTCATAGCCTGATAAATTGGGACTGAGAGAGTAACAGCAATTAGGAACAGAGGAAAGTCTAGTGAAATTTCACCAAAAGGGTGGTTTTGTGCAATAATTTTGAGTGATCATCGGCGGCGGAGAATAACAGAGAGTGGCAAAACCACCCATTGAAACTCCCTACAGCTCTCCGTGCTTTCACCGCCGCCTCATACTTAAACTAATGAGATTTGTGCAATTTTCACGTTAATGCTGCTCTCTTATACTGTGCCCTAATCAATTGGGCCTAACTTGAAAAGCCCATCTCGTAGGGTCGAATTCAATTGCGCATAATTGGGGGAAGAAGATTAGGGCTTGTAGCCGTTGATATACTCACCAGCAACGGCAACACTGAATTTTCCGGCGGAAACATAAAAAGAAAAGATCATATTTGTGCAAATTTCTGTATGAAAAAAGAACAGTTCCAAATTTCCAGAAGAAAGGGTTGTTTGGAATTGTTACAGAGAGAAGCAAACCACCCTTCAATGAAATATCCTTCAACTCTCTGTAAGCCTCATTCTCTCCCTTCTGAGCTTTTTTTGCTTTCTTCAATTCTCAAAAAGAGCTGCTTTTCGATTGACCCTCCATTCAAGTAAAGGAGAATCAATACTACAAAATATAGGGAAGAAAATATATTTTTGACAAGACAAACATTACATTGTCCTGTATTATTTTGATGAATACAATATTAAAATTAGAATGCCATGCACCAACAATACAAGAATAAAATTATAATCCTAAATAAAACACAAGATAACAGGTAGAGTAATTACAACAAAAGTAAAGCGTAAAATGGGATATTACAAGTTAAAGCTCAAGTAAGTACGGTCTTAGGTCCACCACTACTATCGACCCCAGCCCAAAGTAGCTGTTACAAATCAAAAACTGAACTTGGAAAACATAAAAAAAAAAAAACAAGTGATATATACAATGTTACTATCCGCTCTTAGGTCCACGACTACTATAGACCTGAGCCCAGGAAAACAACAGACTAAAGCGAGAAGTTCATTAGCCATACATAGTTAAGGAGGAGACATTCCCCATGCTGCGGTTAGAAAAGGTCTCCTCAAGCAGGTCACTGGGAGCTAAGACAGGCCAATGCTTGACTGCTTGTCCAACTCAAGACAGATACGGGCAGACAGCAAAATGGGGCATCCATTGGCAGAAGAGATGTGAAAAATCACTGTAATTCAGAACAA